CTTCTCCCAAGTTGTTGTCATTGCTTATTGGATGTGTGGTCTAGATCTCTTGTTGATTATATGAACTGGTGAATAATAAAGAGATAATGAGACACATTGTTTGTTGATTGTTTACTGCCTTAGACCAGTAAATTGCATCATGAAACTTCCGAGTTTTAAATTATCAATTGCTGTAATGTATGTGGCTCACTTAGGTCATAGTCATGAGTTTCATTAATCACGATCCTCATAGAATATTGTGGTAAAAAAAGCAACATTAGAAACCAATCTTTATCCAATAAAATCGTTTGTCCTGGCAGGATTATGGCCATATTACTGATGTTCAGAGCATTCAAACGATACCCAACATCAAATTAATCTTCTCCCTTGTTATTCATTCAAAGCCTCAAAAATGGAAGTATTTTCAAGTGCTTCCAAGCAGAAAGCCACTGTCACTGGGAAATAGGCAACCATAAATATTTTTAAAAAAATGCAAGATTACATATTCATAATGTTCAGATAAACCATAGATGAAGCAAACACTGCATCAATTTTTGCCAATTATATGTGTAATATACAGCCCTAATTATCTTTTCTCGCATTTGGCCTCGGGTTAATTCCGGTGTGTTTCCATTCGACGAGTTTTCCCCGTCGGTATATAGGCAGTGAGTTTCATTGCATTTATCCTCAGTCTTTGGATTGTGAGACGTAATAACATTAAAAAACTACTCGATGTTGTGTACATTGTAATCCATATCCTTTTTACCTGATAGAACTTATATTTAACTGTAGTTTCGTCAGAGCTATTGCTTCGGCAATGTTATCCATGGAGGCGGCCATATTTGATGATGACGTCATGAGTTTATGTGTACACAGTTCGTTGACAAAATTACTTTTGCAAATTCTGTATTTTAAGCGTCAAAAGACATTTGCACAATTATAATGAGTCCTGTCACTCTTTACATTTATTATTCTGCACCAATAATAAATTAATATGATTTGCTTCATGAGGATTGTGACGCAGTTCTGGTCAGTTGTCAGTTGACAGTTGACAGTTCTAGACTGATTGTGGTGGATGCGAGTCGCAGATTTTTCCATATATATTTTCACCGGTATCTACCGAGAACACCACAATATTATGTAAGTATAATATATCCAAGCTTTGCTTGAGACAGTACTTACTTAATCAGAAGTTTGTTCTGATTTAAATAATATTTGACATTATTGACTGTGATAAATTTATGTGTAATAAATCCTTGTTCATTGTTTCAACTTCATGTTGTCAAGTTATTTCTTTTTATTGGTAAAAACTGTAATTAACAGGGTAAAAGTGAGAGTGGTCCAAAGAACAGACATGCTACTTAAATAAAATATATTTTTCTCGTTTTACCCCCATTGAACCGTTACATATGGTATGATTATATCATCGTACCTATTTATTTTATTTTTTCATGTTTGCTTAATTGAAATGTTATTATTCAAGGAATTATTTATTAACACTCATTAAAAATAAACATATTTAAGTAGTAGTTTAATTTAAATAGTTGTATTATTTGAATAACATAAAAATAACTTTCATGTTTATCAACAGCTTCATCTATCACCTCTGGGAACTCTGTGTCAGAGCAGAAAAGCTTTTGGTTGACTGGTGTTGAAAGAGTTAAAAGACATTCTGAAACCAAGATTCTCTTTGATGATGAATTTGGAAAACTCATATTTGACTTTTAGGGGCACAATTTGCCAATGATAAACATGATATAAAACATTGCTTAATATAAAGTACTAGAATTTGTACTTTACTAAGAAAGTGTTATCCCAAATATAACATGTGTTACATTTGATCACTGATAAATGAGGCGACACGTATTACTCAACAATCGAGAACACTTATTGACCTAATATTTGTATCGTGTCCTGATATTGTAAATTCCTCGGATGTTACTCCCCCATTCTGCAGTGACCATTGTTCAGTTAGCGTGTCGCTGAAATCTATTAAACAGATGAAAGAAGCCTATTCAAGATTCATTTATAATTACGATAATATTGATATAAATTCCTTTCGGCAAAATGTGGCTGATGTTAATTGAGATTTTCTTACACAAAATGATGATGTTGATGCCATTGCTTCAAAATTTGTTAATACATTAACAGACTTATGTAAATCAAATATTCCAAATAAAACTGTTGTGATTCGTCCAAATGATGCTCCGTGGATGAAGCGGATTTATAAGAAAACTTATCGTAAGAAAAATAGAATTCATAGAAAGGCTAAACGTAGTAACTTGCCTAATGATTAGGAAAAATTTAGAAAAAGTCGAAATAAGCTTATCTCAGAGATACGTAAAAGTAAGTCATTGTATGTTGAAAAACTTGATAATGTTGTCAATACAGAACATGGTAGTAAATCATGGTGGCGGATTGTTAAACATTATCTTAAGAAAACAGATAAAGCTAAGATATTTCCACACATTGAACACAATGGTGTTGTTTATGAAGATGATATTGAGAAAGCAAATATTTTTAATGACTACTTTGTGAGTATGGTAGTGGTTAACAGTTCTTCTGATGATGTTAATGTATATTCTGATATTAACGTGGAAAATTGTCTCACTGATATAAGATTACAAAGCGTTGAAGTAAGGGATATTTTACTGTCGCTTGATGTCACTAAAGCAACTGGTCTAGATCATCTTAGCAATCGTGTATTAAAATGTTTAGCTGAACAATTGTCCGTTCCACTTTGTAACCTGTTTGATATTTCTTTGTCCTCTTCTCAATTTCCAGACATATGGAAATGTTCATCCGTTGTTCCAATTTATAAGAAACATAATGTTCATGATTATACTAATTATCGACCGGTTTCACTTACTAGTTGTCTTTCAAAAGTCTTTGAGAAGTGTGTTTTTAAATATGTGTCAAATCTTTTTCGAGATAATGGAACTATTACTTCATTACAGTCAGGTTTCACGACTGGTGATTCTACATCATACCAGCTCACTCATTTGTATGACTATATAGCTAAGGCGATGGATAGTGGCAAGGAAGTACGCGCTGTATTCTGTGATATAAGTAAAGCGTTTGATAGGGTTTGGCACAAGGGTCTTTTGCATAAGTTATGGGCTAGTGGAATTCGCGGATCTCTTTTAATATGGTTTGAAAGTTATCTAAATAATAGAAAACAGTTTACAGTAATAAATGGGTATAAGTCAAATGTTAAATCAATTGAAGCTGGCGTCCCTCAGGGATCAGTCCTAGGACCTTTACTCTTTTTGGTTTATATCAATGATATTGTTGAAGATATACAGAGTAATATTAAATTATTTGCCGATGATACATCCTTATATGTGATAATTGATGACCCTATGGTATCTTCCAATATGTTAAACGATGATTTAGAAATAATAGCTAAATGGGCCCAGACATGAAAGTAAACTTTAATCCCAATAAAACTGAATCTATCATTTTTTCTAGAAAGAAAACAGTAACATCAATGCCAGATCTTATAATGAATGATATACCGATAAAGTCTGTCGACACTCATAAACATCTGGGGCTGACTTTACAAAGTGATGGCTACTGGAATATACATATAGATGATATTATTTCTAAAGTCAGTCCTATGATCAATTGTTTAAGAAGTCTGAAATACCGCCTTCAGAGGAAAACCCTCCAAACCCTGCATAGTTCATTTGTTTTACCACTTTTTAACTATTGTGATTATATTTGGAACATCTGTACACAAACTCAAGAGTTATTGTTAGAAAAACTTTTAGATGCTTTAAGAACCATATGTGGATCAGTTAGAGGAGTTTGTCATTCCAAAATCTACCATGAAACTGGTTTTTCATCATTAAGGGAACGTCGTAAAAATCACCAAATGTATGTATTTAATAAAATGTTCCATAATAAAACTCCAAAGTATTTATCAGATCTAATTCCATAAACATATCCTCTGTATCCACATATGGATCTAGATCTAGTAATATGCTTCAAGTACCATTATGTCGTACGGAAACATATAAAAAATCTTTTTTACCATCCTCTGTGATGGAGTGGAACAAGTTAGAAAATGATATAAGAAACATAGATTCCGTTGCCATGTTCAAGAAACACTTTGATCGAACTGTCTCATCCAAAGTACATCATGTCTTCAGAAACACTGGTATTAGATTAAATCAAATAATTCATTGTAAATTAAGACTTGGCTGTAGTGACTTAAACGCACATAAATTTCACCGTTTTCTTCAAAATACGTCTACTTGCACTTGTGGCCATCATTATGAAGATGCCATTCATGTTCTATTTATCTGTCCAAATTTTAATACAATTAGATCGAAGTGTTTCTATTACATAAATGGTTTTAATATTCAATCTGTACTATGTGGAAGTTACTCATATTCTGATGAAATCAATGAAAATATTGTAAAATCTGTACATGACTATTTTACCTTAACAAAACGATTTTTTACCTAATTGATTAATTATACTACTGTCTTTTTCATTAAGTCTTTTACTCCTCAAATGGTGTGTTCTCTTGTCTGTAATGATGAATGTATATAAAATGTTTCCCATCGCATTGTATTTTCGGAGAGGTATTTTTATAGGCTTATAGCCTGTTTACCAATCCGTTCATTTAATAATGAATAAATATTGTTTAAATCATTTGATCACTTTCTAAAATGGCATTGTGTAATCATAGCTTTTGGCCGTGGGAGCCGTGCCAATTTACACTTCTCAGAGGGGTACACAAAGTCCGCAGTCTAGACTACTAGTTGCCCGACTTCCATTTTTGTTGAAGTCGCGGTGGCTGAGCGGGTTAGGCGGCTGATGTTGTGTGCTGGTGATTAGGTGCCTGACTCTGAGGGTGTGGGTTCGAATCCCCCATGGGACTGAACCCCCCAAAAGTACTAGAGTTTGTACTTTACTAAGAAAGTGTAATCCCAAATATAATATGTTATATTGCTTAATATAAAATACTTGTGTTGCTACAAAATATTCCAATTGTACATGACAATGCTTACCTTAACAGAATTATTGTGTATATCTAGGCAGAAGCTGATTCGTTGATGGAAAGCAGCCATGGGTTCTTTCGTCATGTACACATTACTTGTTTCTTTGGACTGAACATAGCCCTTCTCATGATCTATCGTGGCCTCAATCACACCATCTCGGATTGCCTGGAAGGAGTTAAGTGTTATATGTCAATGTAGCTACATGGAACATTTCTTCATGAGGAAGATATCATTATCTCATGATGTCAGTTTTAACTTGAATCAAAATAACACAAATGGAAAGTCGTCTCAATTACTCATGGAAGTGTTGGTCCATTATACACATTCTGGTTCACTTTAAACACAATTTCAGATGTAAATACAATCAATATCAAGAAACTATGTGAACCTTTCAACTTGAAATGTGAACTTACACTAAGTCTTTGTCAAATGGACTGTCCACCAAATGAAATTTTACACTTATCCTGACTCATACGTTACTGCTTATCTCCCTTTTCTTCCGAGGTATGGTGGAAACCTCTGTCCTATTGTTCCCTAATGAACAGTCAAAATAGCTCACCCCAAACAGGCCTCTCCCTGCCTGTGTGCCAGCGACCCACGCGACTGCTAGCTGCTTGTCACTCTCTCCATTTTTGAAGACAAAGGTATTTTTGACATGCACCAAATAGTGGAGAAGTGGGAAAGGTTGGGAGGGCACATAGACTATGAGTCAGGATAAGTATAAAATATCATTTTTATCATAAAAAAAACATATTTTTTCTTATCCTGACTTCTACGTTATTGCTTGCATCTGTCAGATAGGTGGTGGGTCAGCCATCTATTTAGATACAATAACTGTTCAATCCACCCCCTAGGAACTCTCCACTATTCAGATTACTGCAGCCAAATTTGGGGGTCACCTTCTTTTAATTAAAAAAGAAGTAAATCATAAGATTTACTTGATTTTTAAGACTCGCGGCGAATTAGATTCCTGCTTATCTTGGTCGATCCATATGTTAAGAATAGGTCGTAAACTTAACTGAATCGTTTCATTCATGCTCTGATTTATCTTGAAAAACAGGGGGGCATGGACTCTCTGTTGGTGGTTATGGAACAGTAACCCGACATCTACAAGTCTATGGGTGAGTAGTTATTTCCTGGCTGGAACTGTCAACTGTTTCGCCACGACCAAGGGACTGAACTGGTGTATTCCGGAAACATCCTTGGTGGTAAAGTCTCTAAAATAGTGATTGGCGAAGACAGTGTCTTATCTCCGGAAACACCCTTACATAACTGATGAGATGGAGCAGTTGCCGTGTAGATGTAAGGTGGATGCAATGGCTTTGACTTCATGCGGATTCGAGGCTCTAGGTGGATCCAGTCCCGCTGCCTTATAGGCTCTCAAAAATCACTGCTCTCAGCCATAGTCATTCTGGATACTTCAGTAGATGTAGCAGGTGATATAGGAATGAAGAGTCTCTTAAACTTCCTTCTTCTCACAGCAGTTCTTTTTAGGTAGATTTTCAATTGTCTGACTGGACAAAAGGACAAATCTTGAGTATCCTCTGTCCCAAGTATGGATGATAATCCATGTATGTGGAATTGTCTATCTGGCTGATTGGTTCTTCACAATGAAGTCCCATCTAAGTCCAAGATGAACTGCGGGATGATCACCGTGTCAAATCTTGTTCGGCTGTAGTCTTTTGCATGTATCTCAAGACATCCAGGCAGCTGTAGCGAGTGCTAGGAGGAATAGTACCTTCTGAGTGAGTCTGCGTGGAGAAGAGGCTCATATTCATCGCTGGTAAGGTGTTGAAGGACTATATTCAATTGCTCTAAATTTCCTTTGCTGGTCTTCTTGTCAGAAGGATATCAGCACCGCGACAAGCTCCGGATTCTTGGTAAGTTTCTTTCCTGAGTTCATGACGAGGACTGAACTTAATGCTGCTAAATACGTAGACAATGTAGAGCCTTTAAGGTGTTTGGTAATTCTCAGATGACATAAGTAATCCACCACTTGAGGATGCGTAGCCCTGATCGTTGAGAAACATTTAAGTCACAAAATGGTCAAAACTCTTCCACTTGTCATTAAAGATTTCTAGTAGAGCGTCAGAGCTAAGGTGATGGCCTTGGCTGCTCTGGCAGAGACTCCTATTCTGGTAAGGTAGTTTGTAATAAGTTCCATGCATGTAACTGGAAGCATGAGCTTGCCTTGTGTGAGGATGAATGAGATGGTTGGGCCAGTTTAGAAGGCTTAGACTTGGTTCTCCAAGAAAACTGATGAGGTCCGGAAACCACGTTCTCAATGGCCAGTAGGGCGCTACCAAAATCAGTTTCAGGATCTTCATCTGGGCGATCTTCCGTATGACTTAAGGTAGACTGACTGACTGAGTTTAGTTTTATGCCGCTTTTAGCAATATTCCAGCAATATCACGTCTGGGGACACCAGAAATGGGCTTCACACATTGTGCCCATGTGGGGAATCGAACCCAGGTCTTCGGCGTGACGAGCCAACGCTTTAGCCACTAGGCTACCCCACCGGCCCGACTTTAGGTAGAAGAATAGGTGGCGGGAATGCATAAGCATGGAGACCTTCCCAAGATATCGCTAGGGCGTCAAAGTTCCAGGCTAGTGGATCGGTGAGACGAAGGTCTTTATATGATTGCTGAAGCTTGTCGCAAATAGGTCCAGGAGTGGGCAACCTTGTTCTTGCACCATTAGTTGAAGGTCTCTGGATATAACATCCATTTTCTTGGGGATGGTTTGATTGGTCTGGACATGCATCTGCTAGAATGTTGATGGCTACTGGGATATGTCTTGCTTTTATTCCCAATTTGAGTCTGTGAGCTCATAGAAGCGAAATATTAGTTCTGAGCTCACAGAAGCGAAACATTAGTTCTGGCAGGGAGAAAGCTACTGCTGTGTTGTCCGTGCCTAACATCAGGAATTGGTTTCTGAGGAGATGTGACCAATGAGTTATGGCTCTTATAACCCCTTTCGAATTACACTTGATTAATATGAAGAGATTGTTCATCTTTGGACCAAGTCCCTGTGGTTACTTCTTAAGTGAACTCCCCAACCTTCTGGACCAGACAATCCAGTGATCAACAGAAGCATCTAAGAAAGAGATATAGATTGTAGACTGGCTCTTGTAAATAAGGGACTCCTTAAACAATCGACTTGGAATTTCCGGCACTGAAGCTCTTTCTTCAGATGTAGTGGTAGTGGTATTATGATGTTGTGATGATCTAGATACATCGATGCATCGATACGTTTTCTAAGATGATACAATTATCGATACGTTCAAAACTGTATCAATATTTAGTTTTGAAAGTATCGGTTTAAATATGTTTTTGTAAGTATCGGCTTAAATATGTTTATGTACCGTCTACATTTTGCAATTGTATCATGTATTTTGATGCTATGAGTTATAAATGATTATGTTTCACGCACAAAGATGGGAAATTAGAACTTTTTAGTCTCTAAAAATAAAAAATGTTGATCTTTTCATGGACAATTATAACATATGAAATATTAATGTTCAAAATGTAACAAAATTTATGCAATAATGCCGTGAAAATAGGTATCGTGATATGTATCGAATCGTGACATGGGTATCGTGATACGTATCAATTCATGAAACTTATGTATCGTGACATCCCTACTAAATATGGTATCAGGAATCTCTGAAAAGGCCTCAGTTGGAGTCTGCCTCTTTGAGTAAGGGCTTGCTTGTGCTGACATAATGAGTTTAGGAATTTCTTGCCAAGTCTTGATTGGCAGTCTTGATTGGCAGACTTGAATTGAGAGCTTGAGGCAGACAATTATGGATTTTCAGCCATCAGTTTTCTGGTACTTTGATCCTCAATTCCTTGACATTAAGAATCTGATTACTAGGAATTTCAGATCTTGTGATGGCTCTAGTTCTGACATCTGAAAGCCAGCCCAGTTGTGTTAACAGTTGAATGGTAAAGTTCAGCTGACGTCTGAGTGGATCTACTGCTTGGTGAGCCTGAATGCCGCCGTGTAGGTAAAAAGCGCTGCAGGTGTAAGTAAGTTACGATGGGCTTGGTCAATGTGTAAACAACCACGGGCCATAGAAATTCCAAAGGGAAAGGCCTTCCATTGGTAGTGCTGCCCGTGATAAAGGAAACGCAGGAACTTTCGTCATCTCTGATGAATGTGTATGTGTAGATACACATCTTGTAGGTCTATGCTTGTCATACGGTTCACACCAATTGCGTCTTCTGACAATACAGTTGATGTTCATCACTGTCAAATCTGGTAGCGTAGATTTTTACTCATGCTGGTACAACACTTCAGAATATTAAGCTTTTTCTGTTAGATGGCGAGAATGCTGTTTATCAGCCGATGTCCACTAGCTGCAGAGTAATATCGCGGTAAAGCGGGATCACTGTCTTCCTGTCTTGCAGAGTACAGTTGTCGACTGTTGATGTTTAAATTCAATGAAGAAGTGATGAAAAACCATGCATGGGACCTCAATATTTATAGTATTGATGCGACATTTCTCTTTCGTCTGCCAACCATCTGTTTGTTCAGGGAAAGTCACCCATCTATAACTTCTATTGCAACAATGCCGATTCCCACGATGCGTTGATCTAGACAGTAACACATACTGTCATCTAAATGATGAACAATCCCTTGATTATCACAGCTTATCTCATGGTCAAGGCTGTGGTAGCTGCAAATGTGCAAATCAGGTCTGCACAGGGGCAATGCATTCTGTCCAAGTCCAATCAACTGCTTTGATGTATGTGATGTCACCAGTGCTCTATCAGGTTGGCTCCCATAATATTTGGTGCAATAGATGGTTTAGTAAACACAAGCGTATGATTTTACGCCGCTTCCATAATCTTCCAACACCATCTGATTGAGGGTTGCTCATGTTAAGCATGACTTCATTGATTGCCTGGGACATGGCTAATCCGTAGAAGGCCCTTCTGATTGCAGTATCAAGTTGAGCCAGCTTTTTGTCCTCCACTCATCTTGGAGTCACTCATAAGGGAATAGTCTTCATTGATTGTTGAAGACCTCTATAGAGGGTGTTGGTAACCCCTGAGCCTTAGTAACCTTTGCGAAGGCTAACTGCTAAGTATCTGCCACTTCAGATATCGGTTTCATCGGCAGGATGGTTAAGGTATCAATATCGTCATCTTGGGTACAATAAGTGTCGGCAGGTGAAGAGTCCCTCATAGGCGAAGACATCGGCAACCCATCCACTATCCATGCTAATAACTCAGATCCTCGTAAATAAATGAGTTAATTTCCTCTTGAGAAGCATCCTACCCAATCCACTATCCATGCTAATAACTCTGATCCTCGTAAATAAATGAGTTAATTTCCTCTTGAAAAGCATCCTCCACAGCTAACATGCTGAAATTATCTTCCTGAGGCTCCTCACGGATCGAAAGCGTTGGTATAGATTGCATAACTAGTCAGTCAATCTCCGTAGCAGGTAATTGTTGTTGATGTTGAATAGCCATCAATACTTGTTTAGTGATGATCGCCACAATATCAGGTTGGTGAGTGAAGGGTTGCATCAGCGCTAAGGGCCGTGCCTCTGGAAAGGTCTGTGACTGCATGAAGTGCTGTGCTTGCGACGAAGGACTGTGCCTGCTGTGTGAATGACTGTGGCTGCATAAAGGTCTGCGGTTGGACAGGAGTACGTTGATGCCTCATAGCCAGCGTGAAGGCCGAGGTCTGCGCTGAAGACTGCAGTTGAGTAAAGGTCTGCTGTACAGTAGGGTTACATTGGCGTGATGTTCCCTGCGTTGAAGGCTGCGGCTGTGTGAAGGTCTTGGCCTGCGTGTAAGACGTCTTCTGGGCCGTCTGTGTAGTACCACCACTTCTGGTTCTAAAACTGGTGGAGCTTCAGTGAAGGAGAGCCTTTCCCGGAGACTTCTTACTGGAAGTCTTCTTCAACTTGGCCAACTGTTGCAGACTGGACCCCTCCCCCAAAGGGGACTTTCCCTTAGATCGGTGCGTAATAGTATCTGAGTATAATATACTATATCAACCTGAGAATCCCACGTGGGAAACTCACTAGCCGACTTGAAGGAATCTATATTAGTATCAGAGATATAATATTGTCCCCAGGGGACTGTAAAGTAACAAATTCATGTTCTGCTGACACTGCACGGGTTGAAAATCTGGGATTTTCCCACCTTTTTTCCCCCCCGATCTTTATTCTCTGTAAGGACAAAAAGTAACATGACAGACTCTTCTGAATGGGCACAAAAATTACATTTGAATTTAAGATGCAGGTATAACTACGGCATGAAGAGCACACTGCGTGTGAATCATGAACTGAGTAGAATATACAGAATATCTGCACACAGAACACATTTTCAAAAAGTCAGAAAATATTAATTCAATAGCCGCACTTTAACAAATATAACATATGGTTATGATGTAAAAAGGATATAGGATTAAAATACAAGCACAAATTTAGAAGTACGGGCCAAAATAACAGAGCAGTAGCTTGTATTAGGCCTAGAGGAAATCCACCCGATCGTCTGGGAGGGCGAAGAAGGAGAGAGTGACAAGCAGCAAGCAGTCATGTGGGTTGCTGGTGTACAGCCTGGGAGAGGCCCGTTTGGGGTCAGCTAATTTTGTCTGTTCATTAGGGAACAATAGGATAGAGGTTTCCACCGTACCTCGGAAAAAATGGAGACAAGTGTTTGCCACTAATATGGCAATGTCCCTGCCACTAAAGATTCGAATATTTATAACATATTTATGACGTTTTATTTTTTGGTCACATACAAGATGCCTGAAATCACCAGTGTCTGCATAATCACCCAATGTAGGCTGTCGACATAATTGAAGACATCGGGTGCAATGTTTTATGAGATATTGCGTTTACATAAGTTTGAAAAGTGGTCATAGTGTCGTGGTGACCTTGAAAATAAGGTCATGGTCACCCAAGTCGACTGGTGTCTGCGAAATCCCCCAATATAGGCTGTCACCAAATTTGAAGACACTGGGTACAACAGTTCATGAGATATAATGACAATAAGAATTAACGTACGAGTCGGGATAAGGAAAAATATTAATTCATTTATAGACACTTAGTGACATTCACCACAAAGGTCAAAGAAAACCTACCTTAGCTACAATATACTCTGCATCCTCTGGACTGTCTAATGATAGCTTTTGTGCAATGTCTACTAATGATATTCTGGAATAGGATAAACTGATCATCCGAACTCCGGTTTTGATGACGTTGTGACGGAGTCGGATGATAAGTGTGTACGTGTCTTCAGCCTGGAACTTGGACCCAAACTTGGCTAACATTTCATTGAATTTAGGAAGGTTTCCATTCCTCACAGCTGAAACAAAGAGGAAACATCAGTCACGTAAAGTTTTCTTCACTACAGAAAAATCCACTGCACTTTTAACCAATTTTGAAATATACAAAATGAATATCAACATAATTGCTGAATGACCTATATCATTTGTCTGCTGACAGATATTCATTGCGTGGAATAAGACTAAAGGATGTGGTTTATGGTATCCAAATAGGATGTTACACATAAATAGCTACATACAGACATAAATTTTTACCATGTCACCAGTACATCAGCCATTGGAAACAACTGTTGTCAGCAACATTAGGAAACGGCCTTGAACAGTTTCATTTAGAATTCTGAATTGTGATTTCACTGCATTTACTTGGACATTTAAACACTTTCTATGAATGTTATAACTTTCTTTCTTGGGAACTGACATAATGTATCAGGGAAAACTGATATTCACAACAAAATAATAATCATTTTTTCCCCATGATTCTTGCACTTTAACATGACATATACTAGTACAGGAATTACAATCTCCACAGTGTTCATGGTGTAAGGGAGATAATTCAGTCTGAACATGAATCTGAGATAATTCAGTGTGAACATGAATCTATGAATCATCTTCTGTAAATTTTTATGCATCTAATGGACCATTGGCTTAGCTGACTAGAACTAGAAACAACTTTATTGGACAACCGCTTGAAACAGGTAAAATAATGAACCTACTTGGTTAATTTGCAAACATTTGCCATAGTTACATACAGTCCCCCTTGGTGACAATGCCACCTTTCATTCAGCAGGGACGATGGCATCATAACCACCCACTACAGTGAAAACAATTTCATCCTCACTATATAACCAGGTGTTTCATTATAACCAGATGTGTCTATATAACCAGTCATTATAACTAGATGTGTCTATATAACCACAGTGTCAATATAACCAGTGTCTATACAACCAGATGTGTCTACATAACCACTGTCGTTATAACTATATGTGTCTATATAACCAGTGTCTATACAACCAGATGTGTCTATATAACCATGTCATTATAACTAGATGTGTCTATATAACCAGTGTCTATATAACCAGATGTGTCTATATAATCACTGTCTATATAACCAGATGTGTCTATATAACCAGTCGTTATAACTAGATGTCTATATAACCAGTGTCAATACAACCAGTGTCTATATAACCAGTGTCTATACAACCAGATGTGTCTATATTACCAGATGTGTCTACATAACCACTGTCGTTATAACTAGATGTGTCTATATAACCAGTGTCAATACAACCAGTGTCTATACAACCAGATGTGTCTATATAAGCAGTGTCATTATAACTAGATGTATGTCTATATAACGAGATGTCATAACTAGATGTGTGTATATAACCAGATGTGTGTATATAACCACAATGTCTATATAACCAGATGTGTGTATATAACCAGTGTCTATATAACCAGATGTGTCTATACACCAGATGTGTCTATATACCAGATGTGTCTATATAACCACAGTGTCTATATAACTGACTGACTGAGTTTGGTTTTACATCGCTTTTAGCAATATTCCAGCAATATCACGGCGGGGGACACCAGAAATGGGCTTCACTCATTGTACTCATGTGGGGATTCAAACCCGGGTCTTTGGCGTGACGAGCCAACGCTTTAAACCACTAGACTACGCCACCACCCCCTATATAACTAGATGTGTCTATATAACCAGATGTGTCTATATAACCAGATGTGTATATAATCATAACCACATGTGACCAGATGTGTCTATATAACCACAGTGTCACACATCACAATAGTCAGGGTGTCATTATAACCAGGGTGGTGTTATAACCAAGGCGGCATTATAACCATGGAATTTTGCACAGCAGATACGTAGAAAAATAATGGCATTATTACTAGAGTGGCATTATTGCACAACTACTGGTTTAGTTTTACACCCCACTAAGCAATATTCTAGCTATATGGCAGTCAATTACTGGACAAATAGATGTTATTGTTGTTGATGTCCCGTTGCATTAACTTGCAACATGTCAATTGCCTGGCTAAAGTACCAGTGTGGTTTAATAAGGTTTTCATGGACAATCTAAGTCTTGATGAAACACTATCTCCACTTAAAGTGAAGCTGTCAATACCTTGAGTTAGCTGAAAGTATGGAGCCAGTGTTTTCCTCATAGAAGGCTGCCGAAATGTGTACCTGTCTGGAATATCACCCAAAAGAAGTTCTACTGTAATTGCAAGTTTCTGCACCTGAAAAAAAACAATAAGGAAAATCTAAAAGCAATCACATCATGTAAAACTTCACACACTCAATCATGTGGCAGTGGGAGCTGTTGACCATGATAATAGTTGAATATGCAACTTTAACTGTGGAAATGTTTGCTGTATGTAAATATAAACACAACATATATAAATGGGTGTGATGTATATGGATAAGTTTACACCTTTCATCGATATTAGAACAAAGAACCCAAGACATGCACCTCCACGAAGAGGCGCTCAGGTCATTGATCAGGGCTACCTCCCCTTGAATCTTCACTCTCATCTTAAAGCTATTTGTGAACACTTTTTAAACTGCAGCAAAATAACACATTACGACATGCTGAACCACATCTCATTGAGAAACAGGCAAGAAACAGAGCTTACTGTCTGTTTGAATCCAATAGCACTTTGTTGTGGAGCTTTCCTCATTGCCTGTAACAGGTGTCTGTGGGCTTCAGAGTACTCAAGCTGTGCTGCCTTTATCCTACCTGAAAACAGAGAAACAGGTTAAGAGGAAGTGTCAAGACCTTCATTTACCTTTCACTTTAACAGCAAGGCTCGGGTGGATTAATAGGGGCGTGGTGGGCGAGCTGTCTAAGGTGCCCGGCTAGTGATCCAGCAAACTCAACTTGTGTGCAGACTCGGTCAGTGTTGTCACAACCTCTAGTGTACAGTACACAACCCTATGCACTTAAACGAACCCATGAATCTGTTGGTAAATGACAAGACAGTGGCCACATGAATAAGTGCAAACACCTAGTTGCGGGTACAGCAACCTTGGACGACGCAGTACTGTGACTATGTGTTCCAGTCCACCCAGCGGTGCCTGGGTAGCTCATATGCAACAAGATGACATCCTCATAGTCACAGCCCAAGTCATGTTTCCATGGAAACAGCAAAAAATAAAATTCATATCTGGGTCTAACCCCCAAAAGGCACATCTAGGGATCATGCTTGATATGTGTACCAAGTTTGATGCAGCTACCATATATAGTTTGGAAGATCTGCTCCGGACAAGATGACATCCTCATAGCCACAGCCTAAGTCATGTTTCCATGGAAACAGCAAAACATAAAATTCATATCTGGGTCTAACCCCCAAAAGGCACATCTAGGGATCATGCTAGATATGTGTACCAAGTTTGATGAATCTAGCATGTATAGTTTGGGAGATCTACTCCAGACAAGATGACATCCTCATAGTCACAGAATCACTACTCTCGCCGTTGTTGCGGGGAATAATAAACTGTGTATGTTTATCTATGAAGATCCTGCTTAGAATTGATCTTCAGCAACCCATGCTTGTTGTAAGAGGCGACTAAAGAGATTGGGTTGTCAGGATCGCTGACTTGGCTGACACGTAATCATATCCCAGCTGAGTAGATCGATGTTCATGTTGTTGATCACTGAATTATTTCAGGGAATTACAGGACGCAAATTCCTGCGTCCTATACGCAAAAAAATTGACAATAGACGTAACAAAATTTACTAGCGCGTCCACAGGGACACACAGAAAGTCCAAATACTTTTTTGTAATAATTCCAATCAAGCGACAATAAGTTATCACCGAGTTTGTTACCAGCTGGGTTATAGTATTATTTGCAATTTAATTACTGAAACATATTCAACCTGAGTCGGTCGCCTTTCCAACAGTATCTTTTTTCACAAAACCTAAAATGTATATGCACTACATCTAGCTTGCCATCGGTGAATGAGCCGACATTCTACGTTTGTTACTAAAATTCCTACATAAATCATACGACATGTCCCTCCTCTTCCACCTTCACTTTGATATCGATAGTACATATCCAAATACATCATGCAGATAAATGAAATTTGCAGTTTTGAACTCTGGTTGAAATTCGTTTTTCTATGATATCATCCGTTCATTGTAGATCAAATATACTGAAAATTACATGCATCGTAAATCTCGCCTGTTCTGACACATTACTAAATCACCATTCACTGCGTTTTGCATAATTTATAGTATGTCTTAATTCAAATGTCAAATTTTACTGGGAGAATTGATTTTAAAAGTAAAAGATGTATCATTGTGATCAGCGGTAGTTTTGTGGTTGTATGATAGAATCACCAATGCTCGTTCTGAAACAATGTCGATGAACTGGGAATCGCTGAGAATGTTTTGGAAAATAAGCAAACACAATTAACGTCAAAGTGAATTTTCAGCCATATTACAGAGTGTTTATAAAATCACGTCACATGTATGTCGGTTATGTTTCGTCCATAAACTCAATTATAGAATTCAACACCATCTTCCTTACATGAATCCCTGAATCCCTCATACAGTTCAAAATAAACTGACAAATGGACTCGTGTCACCAATACGAAGTGTTTCAGTGAAATCTAACGAAATATATCGAGGATATAAGATGCCGCGCTGGGAAAGGACCACTTGTTTGAAATGTAAACAAAGCCAATCTCAGATTTAACACTGTGTATCCGTTCGCCTACTTGTTGCATACACTTGCTCATTAGTTTTAGAACATGCATGGGAAAGGTATCAGAGCAAGCGATAGTTAAATAAAATATTCCAATGATTTTCTAGATTCATCACAACATATTATAGTTTCTGAAAGCGTGACGCCATGACTGACGCAAACTCCATCACAACCATGACGGTACTTCTCTTAACTTCTGACTATTTCCCTTGGTCACAATGAAAACAAAAAGAAAAAAATAACAACCAGCAGACTGACAGAATTTTTGGACTACTTACATGTCACATTTATGCATGTCCGTTGCTTGAAACGAAATTTTCTTCCAAAACTCGGCGGACTCGTGTGAATGAACACGCCATTATGAAAGAGTCGCTTCCCGATAGTGACGTCATACGGACGTCAACATTGTTATACATATTTGATATTTTCATTGAGGTGAGGTTATGAATGAAAATACACACGATCAATCTGTCTTGCTGCTTACATTTTCTCTTCTTATGCTTCTTTCGAATTTTCACAAACTTTTTTCACGTGATTAATTTCAGTATTATTATCATTGGATTTGGGACTAGACAGGAGACCAGTTTAAAATCAAGTGGCACCAATAATGTCATAATCAAAGGGCGGTAACTCTGGCCTTAGACTAACAACTAGTCTCTGAAATGAACATATTTTACTGGGAAAAAAGTTCATAGTAAAAAAAAAAGAAGATATAATGAAAAGGAGCCCTGAGACTTTCTTCATTTTCAGAAGCTGTGGAAATCTAGACTTGCCACATTTCTAGACTTGTGTTGGCTTTCTTGGATATATTTCCTTCAGGGTCTGTACGAGAGACTACTCTGGCCTGTTTAGCTCGGCAAACAAAGACCTCATATTGGCATAACATTTCAGCACTTATTTTGAGGGTTATACTTACATTGTAAGAAAAATGAAAGTATATTTTCAAACATTGGTATTAACTAATTAAAACAGTTCACTTTGATTTATTCGTGTACACTTCCCCTTTAAACAACAACCAACCAGCTGTAACTGAAGTCAGATATCCCCTCAATTATGAGTAAATCTTACACTTACCTAAGTAGTACAAATATCGTGCCCATTCATTATTTGATGCTGATTCTGGAAATGTTGACTTTGACACCAGTTTGTCAGCTTGTTCATAGAGGTTGAAATGAAGGTAGTTCCTAAGTAGCAAGTTAATCAGTGATGCTTGGCCTTCATAGTCCGACCTCAAGGTTGCTGTACGTAAACGGGCATGGAGGAAGCTGTAAACACAAGGATAGTCCAGAAATATAGTAAACATAAACAACAAAACTGATGCAAAAACATTTTTACAATACTTCATTTAAACAAGTCAAGTTTGCTATTGGGAGACATAATTCTCCGATTTGAACATGCAGAAATGTTTGACCTATGCATGGAATATGCTGGTAGAAACAGCAAAAGTTTTACTTTGGATGGAGGAATTGCTTTAAGTTAGATATTCTTTGAAGTTGAAACACTGTCATTTTTAATGAGGTTTCCCTACATCTAATTTTCAGTACTTTCTCACACATTCAAATGTCAGTTCACCCTACACTTACCCCCTGATCTTCTCTAACTGGTTTGTTAGCTCGAAGGTTCTGGAGTAGTAGAAGTAGCACTATCCATGTATGTGCCAAGTTTGGTGAAGAAATAGTGAACAGTTTTAGAGTTCTGTCTCGAAAAGACGGACGGACGGACCGGATGGACGGAGTCCATTTTAATAACCCTGCAAACGCTTGCTATGGGGATAACAAAGAACCCAAGACATGCACCTCCACCTAAGAGGATCAGGTCATTGATCAGGGCAACCTCCTTGAATCTTCACTCTCATCTGAAAGCTATTTGTGAACACTTTTTTAAACTGCAGCAAAATAACACATTACTTACATGCTGAACCACATCTCATTGAGAAACAGGCAAGAAACAGAGCTTACTGTCTGTTTGAATCCAATAGCACTTTGTTGTGGAGCTTTCCTCATTGCCTGTAACAGGTGTCTGTGGGCTTCAGAGTACTCAAGCTGTGCTGCCCTTTATCCTACCTGAAAACAGAGAAACAGGTTAAAGAGGAAGTGTCAAGACCTTCATTTACCTTTCACTTTAACAGCAAGGCTCGATGGATTAATAGGGGCGTGGTGGGCGAGCTGTCTAAAGGTGCCCGGCTAGTGATCCAGCAAACTCAACTTGTGTGCAGACTGGTCAGTGTTGTCACAACCTCTAGTGTACAGTACACAACCCTACGCACTTAAAGCGAACCCATGAATCTGTTGGTAAATGACAAGACAGTGGCCAAATGAATAAGTGCAAAACACCTGCCTTGTTGGTACACAGCAACCTTGGGCCAGTACTGTGACTATGTGTTCCAGTCCACCCAGCGGTGCCTGGGTAGCTCATATGCAACAAGATGACATCCTCATAGTCACAGCCCAAGTCATGTTTCCATGGAAACAGCAAAAAATAAAATTCATATCTGGGTCTAACCCCCAAAAGGCACATCTAGGGATCATGCTTGATATGTGTACCAAGTTTGATGCAGCTACCATATATAGTTTGGAAGATCTGCTCCGGACAAGATGACATCCTCATAGCCACAGCTCTAAGTCATGTTTCCATGGAAACAGCAAAACATAAAATTCATATCTGGGTCTAACCCCCAAAAGGCACATCTAGGGATCATGCTAGATATGTGTACCAAATTTGATGAATCTAGCATGGATAGTTTGGGAGATCTACTCCAGACAAGATGACATCCTCATAGTCACAGAATGACTATCTCTCGCCATTGTTGCGGGGAATAATAAACTGTGTATGTTTATCTATGAAGATCCTGCTTAGAATTGATCTTCAGCAACCCATACTTGTTGTAAGAGGTGACTAAAGAGATTGGGTTGTCAGGATCGCTGACTTGGCTGACACGTAATCATATCCCAGCTGAGTATATCGATGTTCATGTTGTTGATCACTGAATTATTTCAGGGAATTACAGGACGCAAATTCCTGCATCCTATACGCAAAACAATTGACAATAGACGCAACAAAATTTACTAGAGCGTCCACAGGGACACACAGAAAGTCCAAATGAGTTTTTGTAATAATTCCAATCAAGAGACAATAAGTTATCACCGAGTTTGTTACCAGCTGGGTTACAGTATTATTTGCAATTTAATTACTGAAACATATTCAACCTGAGTTGGTCGCCTTTCCAACAGTATCTTTTTTCACAAAACCTAAAATGTATATGCACTACATCTAGCTTGCCATCGGTGAATGTGCCGGCATTCTACGTTTGTTACTAAAATTCCTACATAAATCATACGACATGTCCCTCCTCTTCCACCTTCACTTTGATATCGATAGTACATATCCAAATACATCATGCAGATAAATGAAATTTGCAGTTTTGAACTCTGGTTGAAATTCGTTTTTCTATGATATCATCCGTTCATTGTAGATCAAATATACTGAAAATTACATGCATCATAAATCTCGCCTGTTCTGACACATTACTAAATCACCATTCACTGCGTTTTGCATAATTTATAGTATGTCTTATTTCAAATGTCAAATTTTACTGGGAGAATTGATTTTAAAAGTAAAAGATGTATCATTGTGATCAGCGGTAGTTTTGTGGTTGTATGATAGAATCACCAATGCTCGTTCTGAAACAATGTCGATGAACTGGGAATCGCTGAGAATGTTTTGGAAAATAAGCAAACACAATTAACGTCGAAGTGATTTTTCAGCCATATTACAGAGTGTTTATAAAATAACGTCACATGTATGTCGGTTATGTTTCGTCCATAAACTCAATTATAGAATTCAACACCATCTTCCTTACATGAATCCCTGAATTCCTCATACAGTTCAAAATAAACTGACAAATGGACTCGTGTCACCAATACGAAGTGTTTCAGTGAAATCTAACGAAATATATCGAGGATATAAGATGCGCGCTGGGAAAGGACCACTTGTTTGAAATGTAAACAAAGCCAATCTCAGATTTAACACTGTGTATCCGTTCGCCTACTTGTTGCATACACTTGCTCATTAGTTTTAGAACATGCATGGGAAAGGTATCGTAGCAAGCGATAGTTAAATAAAATATTCCAATGATTTTCTAGATTCATCACAACATATTATAGTTTCTGAAAGCGTGATGCCATGACTGACGCAAACTCCATCACAACCATGACGGTACTTCTCTTAACTTCTGACTATTTCCCTTGGTCACAATGAAAACAAAAAGAAAAAAATAACAACCAGCAGACTGACAGAATTTTTGGACTACTTACATGTCACATTTATGCATGTCCGTTGCTTGAAACAACGAAATTTTCTTCAAAACTTTGGCGGACTCTCGTCAATGAACACGCTATTATGAAAGAGTCGGCTCGATAGTGATGTCATCACGGACGCCAACATTGTTATACATATTTGATATTTTCATTGAGGTGAGGTTATGAATGAAAATACACACGATCAATCTGTCTTGCTGCTTACATTTTCTCTTCTTATGCTTCTTTCGAATTTTCACAAACTTTTTCACGTGATTAATTTCAGTATTATTATCATTGGATTTGGGACTAGACAGGAGACCAGTTTAAAATCAAGTGGCACCAATTATGTCATAATCAAAGGGCGGTAACTCTGGCCTTAGACTAACAACTAGTCTCTGAAATGAACATATTTTACTGGGAAAAAAGTTCATAGTAAAAAAAAAGATATAATGAAAAGGAGCCCTGAGACTTTCTTCATTTTCAGAAGCTGTGGAAATCTAGACTTGCCACATTTTCTAGACTTGTGTTGGCTTTCTTGGATATATTTCCTTCAGGGTCTGTACGAGAGACTACTCTGGCCTGTTTAGCTCGGCAAACAAAGACCTCATATTGGCATAACATTTCAGCACTTATTTTGAGGGTTATACTTACATTGTAAGAAAAATGAAAGTATATTTTCAAACATTGGTATTAACTAATTAAAACAGTTCACTTTGATTTATTCGTGTACACTTCCCCTTTAAACAACAACCAACCAGCTGTAACTGAAGTCAGATATCCCCTCAATTATGAGTAAATCTTACACTTACCTAAGTAGTACAAATATCGTGCCCATTCATTATTTGATGCTGATTCTGGAAATGTTGACTTTGACACCAGTTTGTCAGCTTGTTCATAGAGGTTGAAATGAAGGTAGTTCCTAAGTAGCAAGTTAATCAGTGATGCTTGGCCTTCATAGTCCGACCTCAAGGTTGCTGTAATGTGAACGGGCATGGAGGAAGCTGTAAACACAAGGATAGTCCAGAAATATAGTAAACATAAACAACAAAACTGATGCAAAAACATTTTTACAATACTTCATTTAAACAAGTCAAGTTTGCTATTGGGAGACATAATTCTCCGATTTGAACATGCAGAAATGTTTGACCTATGCATGGAATATGCTGGTAGAAACAGCAAAAGTTTTACTTTGGATGGAGGAATTGCTTTAAGTTAGATATTCTTTGAAGTTGAAACACTGTCATTTTTAATGAGGTTTCCCTACATCTAATTTCAGTACTTTCTCACACATTCAAATGTCAGTTCACCCTACACTTACCCCCTGATCTTCTCTAACTGGTTTGTTAGCTCGAAGGTTCTGGAGTAGTAGAAGTAGCACTTGGCAGCTAACATGTCAAGTGATCTTCTGTTCTGTGGTAAGATTTTCTGCATCAACAGTTCTGCACACTTTACAGCCTGGAGAAGAATCACATGATAGATTATTCAGTTATGAATAGTTACAGGTGATATACAGTCAGTGAGTATGGCTTCAAGTTGATTTGATTTGATAGTGATTTAAAGCAAATGATACAGTCCATGTCTATATTTCATACTTTGACAATTTGTGACTACCTGTAACAATGTTTTTGGTATAAACATGGTGTCGGAGTCCAATAAAATGGATGTGACAAATGTTACATGACCCACATGAAAAGATGGACATAGCAACTTGCAGGTAGATTAAGTGTGACAATTTTTAGAAATATTTTCGTTGAATTTATTTATTACCTTCTCGAAGTATGTTTCTCAAAAATACTATGTTTCTCAAAAATAAACTCATGATAAAGTTCAATAAATTTTAAATTGGAAAGAAATCATAAGAAACATGATGGAATGAAATGAGGTTTCCAAGTAGTTGGTTTGTTGTTAAATGCCGCACTCAGCAAATATTCCAGCCAAAGAGCTATATGGTGGTGGTCTGTAAACAAATCAAGTCTGGAGCAGACAATCCACTGATCAACAGCATAAGCATCGATCTAAGCAATTGGGAAACGATGTCATGAGTCAACCAAGTCAGCGAGCCTGATCACCCGATCCCTTTCATGACAAGCATGGGGTGCTGAAGACAAATTCTAACCCGTGAATCTTCACGGGTATTCCAAGTAGCCCAAAGAACATACAATACACAGCAGACACTATGTAGGGTATACATATCCATGACGTAGTGACACACTCAATGAGTAAAATCAATATACCTCAGTATACTTCTTGGTGTCAATAAGGTGTATGACTACCAAAAGATGAATGTAGGCATCAATCTCAGGCATGAGAGGTTGGTTGGCAAGTTTTCCCGAACGAGGACGGAATGGTGCCCCTATGCCATTAACCTCCTTTGGCTGAAACAAAATTCACAGAGTTGAATCTACTTGTCTACCAGGGGCTCCTTTCACGAAGCAATTAACCTTAACTACCATTCTTTAACATTGCACTAAGGTTACCTTTGTGACTTACGATCACCTTAGTGCTTTGTGAAAGGAGGCCCAGTTGCATAAGTCATTGTTTATTACTAAGGCCCCTAAAAAAAGAATAAATATCCACAAGACATGCACACACAAGTATAATTTGAAACCAGACATCAAATCATGAGCAAGTAAGGATAATAGCAAGATGTGTAACATGTGTAGCAATGTGTATTATTTACACATATCATACACAGTATATGTATCATAAGAAATGTAATCTACACAGACATGATGAATCATGCCCATTTACGAATGTTGCTCGATCCAGGTCAACAGGAAAATTGCCATTGATATTTGAATAATTCAATTAACAGTATTATTGCTAATTATGTGGTGAATGTGGGATGCTGAAAACCATCCACGGAAAATATCATCAGTTCATAAAATTCCTCATTCTCTTCCCACAGAGGTTACTTGTCATATCTTCCAATGAACCTCTTTTCTAATAATAATACGGTCCTTTCATCGTGCGAGTGTTCAGTATTCGCGATTGGTTGTAATCAGATTTAGTTGTGCAATCAGTTACGTTGTTTCAGAAGTGATCATTCACAAGGCCTCAGTGATTTCTGTATGCTTCAGGAAAACTAGAACCATTTCCCCTGCGTGATGTGCAAACGTTTCTTCAAGACAGAACTCAGTCATGTAATGGCGAATCAATCGTTGACAACGGTTAAGGTAGCCATCATATGTCTTGTGTGTCACATCATCACAAGTCCCCGGCAAAGGAGGGATATTTGTGGCCCCACCTTTGCTTGTATTAGTAAAGTTGGATCTAAGTCGAGTAACACGTGTTCTGATTGGATAGAAAGAAGGGAGATAATTTGTGTTGTGATTTTTTGTCGCTAGGGGATTTTCCGAGAACCAGGAAACATGGACTTGTTAGAACAGAGGTTCGTAGGAAGATATGACAAGTAACCTCTGTGGGAAGAGATTGAAAATTCCTATCACTTTTTTCTATGCATTCGGAAATGAGTCAGTTCATATCGGTCAATAAGATGTAACAAATCATGACAAGGCCAAATAAATGTTGTGGTACCGATTACACCTCTTTGAAATTTAGGGTAGGTAGGTAGAAATTATTTTTTTTTACATTTTTTTCAGAAGTAAAGTACAAACTAATAACACTTTTATCAATGTGTAATTGTTTATTCAATCAACCTTGCAGCCATCATGTCCACTTCTCTATCAGAGTGACCGATGTCCGTCTGTGACGGGAAAAAACAATGGTATCTGAAAGCTTATTTTATTCAAACAGAGCTACTGATAACTTCTTGGGTCATTGAGTTATGTACTCGCTTGTGTCAATCTCAATTGGGTATCCTAATTTTCCTTTGAGTAACCAAATAAATTTTACCCACCTCACTCAAACTCAATTGGGTATATTGCCATTTTGCATTAATTGTAAAATTATAATAAAGTTTATATGTTGGTTTACGTGTTTGTTATTTATGTTGGATCTGTAATATGAGAAACGATAAGAAAGATTGCAAGTTGCCAAGTTCAGGTGCTGAAATGGAGCCTCTCAATATGACTCAGTTATTTTATCTATTTTTGTTTGTACTTTACAAAAATTGAAGCGTACGTGTTCGCAATAGACTAAACAGGAATTGAGTTTTCACATAAATATTTGCGTAATTTACGCAGATACGCAGCTTATCTGTACCTCTGTTCATACCGCCGAAAAAATATAGGGTTGACACCAGAATTCAAGGGTCGGTCGGGTAATCGGAACCACAACATTATTTTTTAGGCCTAACTACATTGTGGCCTAATCTGTCCGAGAGTTTATAGAAAAGTATTTCCTTCTCACTATGGGTAGGATAATTATGGGATAATGCAGTGTTCTGGTTTCTGCGATATTCAATGAATATGTCACCAAAAACATGATAAAGTTACTAATTTCAGACAGAAATATGACAGAAATCGAATAAAGAGTTTATTTCAGATATTAGACAGCAGAGTTTGCTGCTTCAAAATGTTCAGTAACTCCACTGACTCCTTCCATCTGTAAACAATATCATAAGAACATATAAATCATGAGTACTTTGTTTCCTGTCATAATCATCTGAACATAGTATGCTCAGTAGTCCTGTCAATAGTGTCATGATTCACTGAATCAAATAGTGTGCCTTCAAGAATTCAATTCATGACATATTTTCTGTGACCACTATTTCGATTATAATATTGTCGGGACCAGCTGCTTTTCAGCTCTTTAAGTTATTTATAGCATTCTTTATCTCATCTACTGAAATTTGTGTTTCCAAAATCATTTGATCAACAGTGTCATAGTCATTTGAAGAGATAATATCATCGTCGGAAGGAATAACCATCGCTTGAAAAACAGCATCATTAGAAAAACTGTCTTGAAATGTGTCATCCATTCACATTTTGAAATATTACTTTAAGATTTGATCTCTTTCTAAATGAGCGAATTTGTTTCAGAACATAGCAGGATTGTGAATAGAATCATTCAATCTGTTCAATCTTTTGATTACCGGAGGTTAGATTTGAATTTTCTTACATGAAGCTTTGTATTTGTTTCTCATTTTACAAAAAATAATTTCTGTTTCTCTCTGGCGTCTACACGAAAACTTCTAAATTGCTTTTATGAGCGCCTCGTCAGCAAGCAGATTTTACACTCGTCATAAGGGTGTTTTTATAGTTTGCTTGAACGGCTTAGTCTTTTTTCTTCATACAATCTGCTGAATCTAATATGACATGGACAAATTCATCTAAAGCTCGCTTAGATCGAACTCAAGTTTCCTCGATAAGAGACGGTCGCTATAAAATGAAGTCTTACTTCTTTTCAAATTATCTAAATATATTTCGCGAACAGTGGATTCCAAACAATCTTTTCTTTATAATCATCAATATGGTTTGTATCACTTGAGTTTTTCATATTTAGAAATTGACATGTCAGTTCTAATGGTAAATGATCAGAGTCTACTCTGTCTCCAATATTCAACAAGTTAATAATTGGAAAAGTCTGGTGAACCAATAAAATAGTCATTGACACTTGATCCCTGTTGCCCATGAAGCGTATATTCCCCTTTGTGAGTCTCCAGTGTCATGATTCACGAACCAAATAGTGTGCTGAATTCAATCCATTTCTGTTAGATTCGAAGATTTATGATTATTTTGAAGAGTGTTTTCACTTGGAACTAGTTATCCCCTGCAACACGTTTTGCGAGGGGTATTAATATGGAGTCTGTCTGTGCGTGAATAAAAAATGTTTTGTGTGTGTGTTTCCATGTCAACAAGTTTGACTTAGACTGAATTTGGTGGTAGTGCCTTTTTCCGGAGCAGAACTTTAAAACCGTTCAATATTTCTTCACCAAACTTAGTACATAGATAGGTCTAGTGGTGAACTGGTGCCTTTTGGTAGTTTTGGATTTCTGAATAAAACATTGTTTGTGTTTCCATGGCAAACAAGTTTGGCTTCAACTAAATTTGGTGGTAGTGATCCTTTCTGCAGAACCATTTAATACCCTCCTTCCACTTTGCTATATACACGCCAAAACATTTGACATAATCATAACTAGCAGACACATTCATAAAGTGTATTTTGCCACTGCGGGGGACATTGATGACTTTGTCTTCTTGTTTGTTATTTAAGTGATATACACAAAATGGAATATAGTCAAAATATTACTTTAACAAGCCCCTTTATCATGTTTATGTCACAGTCATTAGACCATAAGCGGCATTGCTTGTGATGCATTACTTTTTATGCATAATAGAAAGTATCAGTTAAATGTTTCAACTTAATCAATAACATGGCAAGTTTGTTATTTTAATTGCTTGATATTAAAATAATTCATGAATATATATTCATATTCGTTAATATACATTTGGAAATATGATTGTCCTCAAAGTGTATTCATTGCAGCCCTAATATTCAGGGACCAAAAAATCTCCAGCATCAGTTCATGACAAAACCCCTTTGACCATGTTGGCATTCATTCTTCCAAACACTGTGCTTAAAATGACATGAGATATAATACACTTGATTTCATACTAATAAATGTCCCTTCACCTGTTTAAAAAGTTGTCTTAATTATTAATACACATGCTGTAACATCTGTTCTAGTACTTCTACACACGGAATGTTCAATTTTCAGTAAATAATTAGTGCAATTTCAAAATAATATGAATGTGATGACAAAATGTGTTTCTGGAAAAAAAGAATCAGCTTCTCTGTTTAAAAGTCAATTAAACAGGTTCAAAAAATCATTTACACACTGATTCTGCAACACACTGCCTTGAGAACGATGTAATTCAGCTAAGTACAGAGATGTAAACATATATGATATTTCTACCTCAGCCACAAACTTGGTGAGATCTTCTTTGTTGCTTTGAGATGAGGTGAAATAGCCATGGATCAGCTTGTTGAGAATCTTGAAATTTAGCTTTCTCCTGACAGAAACAAGCCCTCTTACAACACGTGACATGAAACGAGGTTCTTTGGTAGCCACAGCCTTTTCAATGTGACGAACATGCTCACGGACATCTGAAACAAGATCATAAATAATATGGATGTTTGTAGCAATATCAAAGTCACTCTTAATTAAATAGTCTGATGTTTTATATATCTATTTCAGCATTCCAGCTACGTGTGACCTTTAAGTTATCATGCCTGCACCTGACAATCCATTGATATCGACAACAATGATCCACATTGCCCTTGAACGATGACGTCACCAAGCTTGACCACATACTCCATAAACATAATTCTTGCAAAATGCTTATAAGTATAGGTTAACGGGGACCAAACCAAGATTCATATTTTAACATTATCAGTATATCATAGTGTAATGTTTTTCCATGAGGTCTCACAGTGAGCTCTATCTCAACACATGGTTATCCTTAGTCATGACTGCAGTACAAGTGATCAGCGAGAATGTCAATTACTATGTCATTGCACGAGCCAGCTGATACTACTTACTTTAACACTACTGACAAAAGCAATACACTACACGTGGCCTCCCGTATTGTACTCAGTTTCTTGAATATGCTTCAATGTACATGAGAAACTACCCTTGAATGGTTTTAGACATTTTAACAAGTATTTTCCTTTTGTCAAGGTTTATGTTGACCATAATTCTTAAGAAAAGGGAAGAAATAATAGACACTACAATTACTTTCCTATGTAATGTTTTTCATATGAAGGCTCTTTTCACTGGGGAAATCTGGGGTAATTCAATTTCACTAAAGGTCCTCTAGCCCATTGAAGAAACATACTTTTATGCAAAGTTAAAAACAATTATCCTTGGTTAACTGGCCTCTAAATATAATAATCTAAGGTATGTCAAAACATAATCAATGACATCCTGGAGATCTGCAAATCATAATTCCTGAAAAGTTATTCGGATGAATTACATGAGGAACTAGACATAATACTACTGCATGCAGTTTAGATCTAATGATTCAGAAGATACTAAACAGACAGCGAAAATCAACAAAGCGAAATAGTTGGGGCCAAACAGTTTGATCTTTTGTTAGTTTTACAACTAGCTACATACAGCTCGTTCTACACGCTTTTCACATTACATGTAGGAGAAAATATCGTTATGCTTGTAATTTTGTTTGGGTAAAATACCTTCTAAAGTGAGTAACTCGGGGTCTTTCTTCACTTCAGTTTCTTCTTTCTTGTCGTCAGGCGTGGCAGGACTCGAAACGTCCTTCATTTCAACATCTACACTCTGAGCTTTGACCATTTTGAACAACTACCAATAAATATTTCCACAGTTCACTTCGAAGTAGGTCTGTATGTGCCTGAAACGACGATCAAAATCTGTATTTTACAGCAGGAGCAGCATGATCAACGCCATGGCATGATGTGCAGATTTTTCTAATATGGCGGATAATAGATCCGCAGTAACGTCACCGATTTATAAGCAAATATCAATGATTTGCGCATTATAAAAGACGACACATTTAATAATTAACGTAAATATAGGTGATATATAAGTTTTCGTACGTTATCTTGGGGAACATTTTTAACCAATCAAAACAACGCAAGTAGTCGCTGCCTTTGCAGGTGTTTAGCCGCTCCCCTACCCACAGTTGTATGTTCAACCCTAGACTAACAACTAGTCTCTGAGAATGAACATATTTTACTGAAAATGTTCATAGTAAAAAAAAAATATGATAATGAAAAGGAGCCCTGAGACTATCTTCATTTTCAGAAGCTGAGGAAATCTAGACTTGCCACATTTTCTAGACTTGCGTGGGCTTTCTTCGATATATTTGCTTCAGGGTCTGTACGGCAGAAGTTCAACCCAAGTTTAAGTAGCCTACTGTGAGTGTTCTACGGCACTGGTTTTCATGAGAAATATGACAATCAGCAAGAAAATACTTACTGCATAGACAATTTGTTTCACTGTGAGTGTCGATAAATGAAATACATATGTAAGTTTTAAATTTGAACTGATGTTTAGAATCACACACACTCACACAAACTTGTACGCTCACGCAGACGGTGGCGCAAAACATACGCACGATCAATTACGATAAGATTTTATGTAAAATTTGCCATAATTACGTGTACGATTTGATGTAAGATTTGAAACAATAAGATTTTGTGTCAGATTTGCCACATTTACCGATAAGATTTTCGGTACAATTTGCCACATTTACCTCTGAGATTTTGTGCAAGATTTGCCACTATTACAATTTACAAATGCAGTTTGATGTAAGATTTGAAACAATTACTGATAAGAATTTTGTGTCAGATTTGCCACAATTACCGATAAGATTTTATGTAAGATTTGCCACAATTACCGATAAGATATTGTTTAAGATTTGCCACAATTACCGATAAGATATTGTTTAAGATTTGCCACAATTACCAATAAGATATTTTTGTGAGATTTTGCCACAATTACCGATAAGAATTTATGTAAGATTTGCCACAATTACCGATAAGATATTGTTTAAGATTTGCCACAATTACCGATAAGATATTGTTTAAGATTTGCCACAATTACCGATAAGATATTGTTTAAGATTTGCCACAATTACCGATTAGATTTTGTGTAAGATTTGCCACAATTACCGATAAGGATTTATGTAAGTTTTTTCACAATTACTGATAAGATATTGTTTAAGACTTGCCACAATTACCGATAAGATACTGTTTAAGATTTGCCACAATTACTCATTAGACTTTGTGTAAGATTTGCTACAATTACTTATAAGACTTTGTCTAAGAGTTATTTACCATAAGTAATCCACTTTTAGATAATTGTATGTAAGTCCTGTATATAAAGTATTTGCTGTTCCTGTACCATATCAGATACAAATGGGACTTGTGGTTTATTTGTTGTTTTAATGAACCTGCACCTTAGTACTTGAAGCTTATTACTTCCACACAGAGTTTCTGTTATTTATTACCGCCGCCATATAGCTGGAATATTGCTGAGTGCGGCTAAAACTAATTACATTGGTTAGCTAAGTATGCCTTTTCAAGTGTCGCGGTTCAATGTGTACACCGCGGTTGGCGATCTAATAAGGGAGCTAACTCCATTCGCCTTAGCTGGTTCGTAACTGAGATTGAAAGAAGCGCATACAAAATACCCATCCCCCTGTAATCCCCGCCTTTCCACGTGACAGGACTGAACGATTACCGTCATGCGTGACCTGCTGCTTGCCATGCGTTGTTCCATCATATAATCTTTACATTGGAGCACAACACACATTAAACCCACACCTGAAACACTAAAACTGTTTAATTTCAAATTATGATAAGTATTTTCAGTTCTGAAAACATTTGAAACAGTTACTACTATTGGCAGTCACAACCCAGGGTTACTCCAAAACTTATACCCTCTGCTTTTTTTTTTAATTTAAAAAATAAAATGCTTTTCATAATATCAAGTCGGTACTCGGTATACAGTGAAATCATGCATCGAATTCGTCAACTCTGGCGTCTTTCCATAACCAACAGTAATGGCACGAGTTGGTCACGACAAAACCCGTGAAGATCCGGGTTAGAATTGATCTTCAGTAACCCATGCTTGTCGTAAGAGGCGACTAACGGGATCGGGTGGTCAGGCTCGCTGACTTGGTTGACACATGTCATCGGTTCCCAATTGCGCAGATCGATGCTCATGTTGTTGATCACTGGATTGTCTGGTCCAGACTGGATTATTTACAGACCGCCGCCATATAGCTGGAATATTGCTGAGTGTGGCGTAAAACTTAACTCACTCACTCACTCAATTATGTAGATCGATGTTCATGCTGTTGATCACTGGATTGTCTTGTCCAGAGAGGATAATGTTCCTGAAATATTGCTGATTGCGGCTTTTAACAATAAACCAAAAAACAACAACAAGGACCCAACAGACACGAATAATAATCATTGCACCATTACCGAGGTATCATGTAGATACAATTAGCCGAGTGGATCCGAGAGTCTCCGACCTCTTCTGAGTTGAACAACCCCGAAAGTTCTATGGATATACAACTTCTTTACACTATTTACAGAAGAAGGAAAATGTCAATTATAGGCTTTAGTAAAAAGGAATGTCTTTAGGGCCTTCTTAAAGTCCAGGGTCAGGGCGAGTTTGATTTGGAGCGGCAGAGAGCTCCATAAGAGAACTCCTCTTTCCAAAAGAGGTGAGCCGAACTTGAAGTACTTTGAGGAGCTGTTTATCCTGGGAACGTAGGGTTCTGAAAGGCACATACTGGGTTAAGAGAGATGAGAGATATGTAGGGGCAAAGTTGTTGAGGCACTTAAAGACTGTACACAGAACTTTGATGACAACTCGGTATTGAACAGGAAGCCAGTGCAAAGACTTTATCACAGGGGTTAAATGATCATATTTAGAACTCAAAGATATAATTCTAGCGGCTGTATTCTGCACTTTCTGGAGTTTTTTCATGTGTTCTTTGGATATTTCAGTGAGAAGGCTATTGCAGTAGTCTAGGCGGGAAGACACAAGACATCTGACCAGGATATGTGCACTCTCTTTAGTGATGTATTTTCGGATGGTACCAATGGAACGAATGTGAAAGTAGCATGTCTTACACAGATGATCCACTTGTGCAGACATGGAAAGGTCCGACTGTAGCTGTACTCCAAGATCTTTAACTTGTCGTGATGGGGAGATACAGGCAGAAGCAATCATCACTCGCTCAACATCTACCTTGTCGATGTGCTGTTGTCTTCCGACCAATAATACCTCTGTTTTGTCGTCATTTAACTTTAGTTTTCTTTCGGTCATCCATGACTTAATTTCAGAAGTACAGTTTTCAATTTGTTGTAGGGTGTCAGACATTGATTCAGTGTTAAATCTATTCATCAGTTGAACATCATCTGCATATGAAAAAATGAGGAGCCCCAAACTTGTCAGTTATGGTTTTGAGACAGTCTACATATAAGAGAAACAACACAGGTCCCAACACTGAACCTTGTGGGACTGCACACGAGAGCACTGTCTTATCCGAAAACTATCCCGAGACATATACAGACTGTCGCCTGACATGGAGATAAGATGCAAACCAAGAGAGCGCTGTTCCACTGATACCAACTTGATGCTGTAAAATATCCAGAAGCTTGTAATGATCAACCGTATCAAACGCTGCTAAAAGAGTCAGCGTTGCCATGTCACCAGAATCCACTAGACACCTGAGATCATTAACAACTCTCAGGAGCAAGGTCTCTGTTGAATGCTGCGGACGATAAGCAGACTGATAGTCATCGAGGATGTCATGGAGGTTGATATGCTTCATTAGTTGTGTGGTAACAGCTTGAAACGGACCGATAGTTCTTGAGTATGTTGGTATCAAGTTTGGAATTCTTTAACAGTGGAGTAACTAACGAGTTCAACTAACTTGTTCAAGTTTCTAACAAGAGGATAAGAAATTGTCAGCATCAGATTAATCTAATACTACTCCATGTGTCCACATTCACTCTTTACTATGTCGATGAATGGGCGTGTCTGGAGATGTCCTTAAGAATTCCAGCGGAATGTAAAATGACAGATTTCTGGGTAATTCTGCAATAACATGATCAAGGATCACAATGCCTGCGAGAACGACACTGGAAGGGTCACTCGACAGCACTATAGTGACAATGCTTTAACCCGGTATCTTGGTACCTCAGCAACAAACATCTTCCAGAATATATGGTCAGCCATAAGTGCAGACTTTCTACATGGTGCACGTCTGGGACATCATAGTGTGTACGCTGACTTCAAAGTGTTAGCCGGACTGGCCACGTTACAAGATGAATGCATAAATCGTGACAAATATGTAAAAGACATTTCTCTCTCTTAAGAGAGTGAGTGAGTGGGTGAGGGGTTGAGTGAGTGAGTGAGTGAGTTTAGCTTTATGTCGCACTCAGCAATATTTCAGCTATATGGTAGCGGTCAGTAAATAATCGAGTCTGGACCAGACAATCCAATGATCAAAAGCGTGAGCATCGATCTACAAAATTGGGATACGATGACATGTGTCAACCAAGTCGGCGAGTATGACAACCCGATCCAGTTAGTCGGCTCTTACGAAAAGCATGGGTTACTGAAGATCAATTCTAGCCCGGATCTTCACGGGTCTCTTATGAATGAAGCCTTCTGGAGTCATCTATTATTTATATCCCCTACAACTTTAGGAAGATATATTTTATTTATTTCAAATTCTTATCTAATTTCCCCAATAACCTTACGTGCCAGTGTGTCATATTTTGTTTGATTCTGTTTTTCTGTAGTTTACGATCCCTTTTTCGAAATCCTCTATACACCTGTACATTTCATGATATGACTCCATCGTGAATATCTTAGTTAGTTGTCCTGCCATTCACGTAGGCGAGTAATGTGACCGAGAGGTCAGGCTCGCTCAGTTGATACATGT